GGTTTTGAAAAATTTATGATGCCCAATTAAATTAATTATGACCTACCTTGATTTAGTTTTCTTCATGCTTCTTGTGCTTGGGGATTGTGGAACACCTTCGATCTTTTTTTTTTTTTTAATAGTATTCATTGAATTTGGAAAATTTCCAGGTATTATTTCTTCAAAAATATTTTAGTTGTCTCAAAAAGGAAAGTGAGTAGTCCCTGGTATTCTACTGTCACTGGAAGTATAAGTCTCATGTGTGTAGTTTCACAAGTCATCGTTCCTTAAGTGAGAAATAGTAAGACATAGTAAGAAAATGAGTCACCCCTTGTTCTTACCCCCGCCTCCTGCTTGCTTGGCTTTTTCTTTTGGCTTTTGTTTCTATGTTTCTAAACAACATGCTTATCTTTTCTTTCCTCCTCCCAGAGGCCCCCACCTCCTAAAATCATCCCCTTGGGAATTAGGATTTCAACAATGAATTTCAGGGAGCCCCAGATATTCAGACCATAGCAGATATTGTCTATTTCTGGAAGGGAAAGGGAGAGCGCCCTAACACTGCTCAGTCTAGGCCTTCTTTCCCTACATCCTGCTAATGCAGTTATATCATCATTTCTGGTTAGGACACTATTTATATTATTGTGGCTATCATTTTATTTCCAGCTATGCCATATAATGCCTTATGGTTTTTATTTCCTATCTATTCTTTATTTCTTTCTTTCCCAGCTGAGAGCTCTTGTTTCCTGCACCGCACCCAGTGTTTTGAGGGAGAAAATGTGGGGAACAGAACCAGGGCGCCGTCTGGAGAACATGAAATCTGGAATCTTCTCATTTTCACAGTGCCGTCTCTTATGATAGAGGGTTTTGTAACTGTGTGCAAGTTGGCACAGGGGCCAAGGATGGGCAGCTGCAGGATGTATGTCCCTCACACCTGTTCTTCAGCCCTGCTGTGTGGTTGTCAAGATGGTGTGTCTGCAAGATCTCATTCTGAGATTCCTCATTGTTATGGGGGGAATGGGAAAGGTCTAAAGCCCACCTCAGCCCACCTCCCTGCTAGTTCTAGTCATTGACTTTCTTCCTGCCTTAGAGAACTCCAAATTCTCTAATGCCAGCAACACCCAGCGTCTGTAGCCGCAGACATTCCGTTTTGGTGTCCCCAACTTCCCTGATGACGTTCTCACTGCCCTTGACATTCCTCCTGCCTGGGGGTTGGGATTTACATTTCTGGATGTTTCTTTAATCACTATTATTTTTCTATGGTTTATGAGGGGAGCAGGAGACATAGACATCTTTCTTGGAATTCTTACAATGAAATCTCACGTTAATCTTCTAATTGGGAAAAAATTAACGATGTGCAAACAAGATAATTCTCATTTGTATATAGCTCTGGAAACCAACAACACAAAAAATTAGGGAAAAGTCCAGATGAAAATGCATCAGAAGTGTTAATCTTTAAATCGTGAATCTGTAAATGTCTTTTTTTTTTTTTTT